TTGGTAGATTGTGTTGGTCATTCTGGAAATGTGCTGGCTGCGTCTGTGTTCTTTAATTTGCCCATTGTCTGTCACCCGCAGAACTTTCCACTCTCATCAGCGCTTTTATGGGATTGTGCTCTCACGCTAATTTGCACTGTTTAGTAAATCTGGCCTACAGTCTGTACAATAGCACGCATTGTATAAAGTTCCTAGATCGCAGAATTTTCAAATCTTTTTGTCCACTGAACGTTTCTTTTCTGAAGACATTTCGTCAGCTGAACAATTAGTATGTTGTTAAATAACAGTACAATCCATTGAACACACTGGATTTCTGTCCCTCACAGTGTCCTTTTCATTCGTGTCAGCAATTAAACATTGAGCTACCCTGACTAAAGTTATATTGTCTGTTGTCAGAAGTAGCGCAAGAGCCTGGAGTACTTTGGATATAGAACAGGGCATCAGTTTTCTGTCGAGGACTCATTTGGTGTAGACAGAATCACTGATTATATTAAGTTCTATGGACTTTTGTCGAATAGCGTCATGCAACTCACATCCGGTGTAGACACTGTTTTAGACTATGAATGTGAAATAATTACTATTAATTAAAAGATGAGCAAGCCATTGCTTAAATTTAACTAGAAGCCTTAGAGGGCGAGGGTTTTCAACTAAAAATGCAAAACATTTTTTGGCCATTTATTTACAAGACAACTGCATTTTGGGGGCCTGAAAGTGCAAACTTTTGAAAACGGGTTTCAAAGTGCATGTTCATGCACAGTATTGTGCATGAAAACAATACTGTAATGAACTTAGTGTAAACTACAAGAACACAAAATTGTGAAAATTGTACACAAAAGTCTTCAAAAATGCAAAGGAAAACTTTTTTCAGTTTTGGTACATTGTTGTTGTGTAAACATACCCTAAAAGGACAGGTCAATCTGCCAGTCAAGCTTTGGAAAATGTTGATGGCAAATATTTTTTCTAGGATTGTGGTGTATAAGGACGACATGTTAAAAGCTATTGTTCCAAGATCTGCAAAACCTTTCAACTTCCAGGAAGCCTACAAACTTTCAGATGAAACTGTGAGTACATTAATTACATAAGTCTAATTTTTTTTTTTTATAAATGTGAGGTTTGAATACAGATTAGAAAATAATATATTAATATGATTAATCTACGGCAGGCCCTGGACATCAGTGATCATTACCCAGTGGAGGTGAGTCTGAAGAAATCATCTGCGGCAAAGACCAGCGGCAAAACCAAAACACAGAAACGCAAAGCATGATGGGATGCCAATGCACACTGTATGGGATCTTAACTTCATTCTACTGAGGGAGAGATGCTACCTCTTCATAAGATAATTCAGGCATTAAAAATAATTTAAAAGCAGTTATCTTTTCATGCTAATTTAATGAAATTTACATTTCAATATAGTTCACATGCTTATAAATGTTTGAAATGACTGTGAAATCTCAAAATAAACTTTTCATTTTTATTTTATTTAATGTCATTTTTCCAACAAGCTTATTATTTCATGCCTAAAGTGTTAATAAATGTGTTAGTTTGCACAGCTAGATACAACCACTAATTGGTAGCAAATTAATTACAAAAATTCTATTTTAACACAAGAACTACTGTACTGTACAAACAATGCATTGGCAGACAAACAAGCGATAAAAGCCAAACCACTGCTATTGTTTAAAAATCATGCATCAAGCGCCTCTAGCAAACTCTAATTTAGCTTGTGGCTACAAGCATGACAAGTCAGTTAACATGGACATCAGCTTCTGCATTACCAAACAGAGATCAATTACAGCAGTCCACTTACCCTCAAGGAATCAAGCAAACTTCATTAGCAAGAAATCATTCACAAATGAGATTAAATGTGCAAGAAGTCTTAAAGATGAAATAGAACAATTAGGTAACAATGAATGTCTGTACGGCAATTTTTGTTGATTGTATTACAGGTGGTCATAAAAGTAGTCTGTAGATGTGTGAAATCCTCCAATAGTCCATCTCAGCAGATCCATGTACTGTAGATCACCATTGAAAGGTAAAAATAACACGGCTTCTTCTTTCCTCCCTGACATCTGGGCACATACTGTATAGTTGTCTGCGGGACTGATTTTGAAAAGAGCCATTCAAAAAACTGCGAGCCAGGTGTTTGGACACGTCTGAAGATTGGCTGAAGAGTCGGCTGAATCATGAAGATGCAAGGAAAGGTCAAACACAAAATAGAAAATGAACATTAACTTGTGCCTCTCTTTGTTGTTAATAAAGATTAGTAAAAATGTGTATACACTCACCGATTAAGGAGGGGATCAATTTCATCGATGAACATCTCTTCTGATTTGGAGTCACTAACTTTCCCTATCCTTCCTTCATTTATCAAAGAATAAATGGAGAAATTTAAGCAGGAGTGCGCTTTATTTACAACAGCTGTTATATGAATATAAGATTAATCCAAGACTGAGAATAATCTAGGATTAATGTTGCAAAAATTTAATTGTTTAATTAGTAGATTAAAGGCGTAATATTGCATGAATAAAGCAGGAATATTTTTACGCGAAATACACTATTAAAGGGTTAGTTCACCCAAAAATGAAAGGTTTTACTCACCCCAGAGCCATCCTAGGTGTATATGACTTTCTTCTTTCAGACGAATCCAGTCGGAGTTATATAAAAAATGGTCCTGGCTATTTCAAGCTCTATCATTGCAGTCAGCGGGTGTTACAGTGCTTCAGTCCAAAAGAAGTGAAATAAAAAGCGCCCATCCATAAAAAAAGTGTCTCACACGGCTCCGGGGGGTGAACAAAGGCCTTCTGTAGCGAATCGATGCGTTTTTGTAAGAAAAATATCCATATTCAAAACGTAATAATCACTTTAATCTAGCTTGCGCCAACAGTTGTACACAGAAGCAGCTCCTGGAGGATGACGTATGAGTTCAGCGTTGCGTATGCACCAGTGAGTCTCGTGAAAACCAACGTTTGTTAACAGGAGCAAAGGAAGCAAAGATTCCTTACTTTAGCAAACGAAAACCAGTCTCCTCTTGGCTTATATCGAAATCCTCCAACATTCTTCTTTACAAATCCTTGTTTTGTACATCTAATTAGTGACCGTTGTTTTGTTTTGATCTCTCCGCTGCGTTTCCTCGTGCGTCACTTCTGACCGGCGCATGCGCAACGCTGAACTCATACGTCATGCTCCCGGAACTGCTTCCGTGTACAACAGTGAGCGCAAGCTAGATTAAAGTGATTATTATGTTTTGAATATGGATATTTTTCTTACAAAAATGCATCGATTTGCTACAGGAGGCCTTTGTTCACCCCCCGGAGCCGTGTGAGACACTTTTTTTTATGGATGGGCGCTTTTTATTTCACTTCTTTGGGACTGAAGCACTGCAACACCCGCTGACTGCAATAATAGAGCTTGGAATAGCCAGGACAATTTTTAATATAACTCCGTTGGATTCATCTGAAAGAAGAAAGTCATATACACCTAGGTTGTCTCTGGGGTGAGTAAAACACAGCCTAATTTTCATATTTGGGTGAACTAACCCTTTAAGAGGAAGCGGCATGATTAAAAATGTTAGACATTGCTTCTAAATCAAAACATTTAGAAAAGCAGGTACATACATGAACAAGTAGCGAACAGAATCACAAAAAATGTTACAAAAAATGTTCTATATCCGATTTCATTTAACGGACTTGGTTTGTTAGTGATTTCATTACTGATTCTTTTAGTATTTGATTAGATCAATTCTAACTACTCATAAATTTAGTATAGTTTTTGTTTTGTACATTTTATGAAATATTTGCATGTTTTAGTAACTACACTAATTTATGTTTCACAAGTGTTTATTTCACATAAAAAACAGTAACAGATCCCAATTCGCTAGTTGCGCTGTACTGTGTGTTTGATGTTGCAGATCGACTGTGTGTCATTCTACTCTCGTTTTACCTCTCTCATCACATTCGATACACATTACTATGGTGGCCCAGCAGTGCACAACACAACGCAATTAAAAAGCAAACATAAGCTCACAACACAATGAAATTAAAAAAGCAAACATAAGCTCACAACACAACAAAATAAAAAACAAAAAACTAACATAAGCTCACAACACAACGAAATTAAAAAAGCAAACATATGCTCACAACACAACGGAATTAAAAAAAGCAAACATAAGCTCACAACACAACGCAATTAAAAAAGCAAACATAAGCTTACAACACAACGCAATTAAGCCACAATGCAACGGAAATGCTCCCGACCACTAGGGAGCAGTGTTGACAGTTAAACACCGATATTTCCTCGAGACGCCACAAGAAATTCTCAATGTAAGTGATTGATCTTAATATGCGTAATTGATTTTTAAATGAACAACGTGTTTTTACTGAATGTTTTGATATCTTGGTAATCTTATTGTATCAATTCATGAATCGAGCAGAAAATAAATCAATATTATTATCGAATTGGACACTTTAGCTGTGCTCTTGCGCACAATTGCCCGTTTCTGCAGACCAACTGCCCCCTAGTGGTCGGGAACATTTCCATTGTGTTGTGGCTTAATTTCATTGTGTTGTGAGCTTATGTTTTTTTTTTTTTTTCGTTGTGTTGTGAGCTTATGTTTGCTTTTTTAAAATTTTGTTGTGTTGTGAGCTTATTTTTTTTAATTCCGTTGTGTTGAGAGCTCATGTTTGTTTGTTTTTTATTTCGTTGTGTTGTGAGCTTGTTTGCTTTTTTTTATTTCGTTGTGTTGTGAGCTTATGTTTGTTTGTTTTTTTATTTAGTTGTGTTGTAAGCTTATGTTTGCGTTTTTAATTTCGTTGTGTTGTGAGCTTACGTTTGCTTTATTAATTGCGTTGTGTTGTGCACCACTGGACCACCGTACATTACTATGCTACTTTCATTCTCCAATTCTGAGTATTGTTTTTCTCATGTTTGATTTTGCTCTCATCTATGCGTTTCGGATAGTGATCCTAGTGCACACTAGACTCAAAATCCCAGCACTTAGGCCTTTACTCTGCCTCATTCTCACTGCTGCTATCTGGGTAATGCCAGCTAGTGAAACAGTCACGCTTGGGAACAAAGCACAGCGGCACATCACAAGTCACACACATGACTGGAGTTTTGTTGGGGCACATTTTGCATTTTCGTCTTCCAATGCTGCTATCCCCACTGATGTACTTGGGCAAATGGGAGTAAGGGGTAAGAGTCGGGCGTATTTGTGCAGGGGCGGATGCAGGTCCTGTTCCTGCAAGCTCTGCAACAAGCGCCTCCCGAAAGGCTTTCTGAGTCAGAGGCTTCTGGTTATTCATCTTGGCCATCTGCTGGTGCAAAATTAAGGCATTGACTACAGCGATGTCCACAAAGTGGTAAAAAAAGGACCGATACCACCTTCTTGTTTTATGTAAAACTGTGTAAAATGAAATGAGTGCGTCAGACAGATCCACTCCTCCCATGTGCCTGGAATTAATGAAAAAGTCATTATAAGATGCATAATATAAAAGGTATAACTTCAAACCAATTAATAAAATCTACTAACTTGTTGTAGTCCAACACTGCGGCTGGAACGGGGAAATCCTGAATGGCCCAAACTCCATCGGCTCCTTTCACATTCCTCTTAATGGAGTCCCCATTAAAGGCCTTATGAAAGGTGGAGCACATCAGTACGTCTCTCTTGTCCTTCCACTCAACAAAAAGCAGATTGTCTTCCCTAAACCAGCGAATATTGCCACGAGGAGCCTGTGTCTTTAAGTGGCCAATGCGGTTTGCGCGAACGGTGCCACAAGCCCAGATCTTTTTATGCAGCAGGTCTCTGAAGAGCTTGGGACTGGTGTAAAAGTTGTCAACAAACAGCTTGTAGCCGCTTCCCAACAACCTTTCATTTGCCAGAATCATGACAGAATCATAACTAATGCCTTTGCTATCCTCCAAATTGGCCTTTCCTTCATAAATGAAGAAGTCCCACGTGTAGCCACAGAGGGAATCTGCCAGTACAAAAAGTTTGTACCCCCATTTTGTAGGTTTGTTCTTCATGTATTGTTTGAGTCCATTTTTAGCCTTCGATGCCACCATTCGTTCATCAATGGAGATGTTCTGAGAGGGATGGAAAGAGGCTCTGCAGGCATCCCTAATGTCCTGGTACAGCGGTTTGATCTTACACAGGCGGTCGTATTCAGGTGTTCCCCTCTTCTTGTCATTTTCTGCATCCACTTTGGGATCACTAAGATGAAGAGCTTTACTGATGCTCATAAACTTCCTGCCAGACATGATTTGAGAAGGATAGGAAAGATTATATATCTGAGACTTCCTCCAATAGTCTGTCAGTTTGAAGCATTTCAGCAAACCCATGTAAATCACCAGTGCCAGGAATGACTTCAGATCTTTAATTGAAATGTCCTCCCATGGCTTCTTCGTGCCTTCCTGACGCATGGCCCCGTATGCATTTGAGTTTGCTAAAATTGTCCGCAGGACTGTTTTTGAAAAGAACAACTCAAAATACTGCATAGGACTGCATGTTGCAGTGGAGACCAGCCGTGGGCCGGGTGTTCGTTTAGGTCTGAATGTTGGCTGTGTCGGCTCAACATCAGGCTCAACTGCACTTTTCCACTTCTGTTCTAAGATGCTTAAGGAAAAAGGTAGGGATCGACTCACACTGCTTCTCCTACCTTTCCTTTTGCCACTTTGCACAGAGGCGGGTGAACCAGATCGGCAAGACTTTACTGGAGATGGTGATACGGAAGACAGACTGGATCTCTTCTTCTTTTGTGGACTGACCTCTGGATACCAGTCATCATCATCAGAGACATCTGTAAACCTGTTGCATGAGGCAAAAAAAAAAACAAAAACAAAAATCGAACATTACAAACACACTGCACTATGCAATAACAAATGTGCAGGTGCGGATTAACATTCACAGTTAGCTTGCCTAGGCTGCAGCCTAGGGGCCCCACGTGTGCAGGGGCCTCAGATTGGCAGAGCAAAAAAGACCCTCATTGGCCCATAAGAAACATCAAAGGAGGATTCGTTGCAGATCGTCTGACAAAATTAATGTATTGTATTGTAGAATGCACGCTCAGCACCGCCGAGAGTTCGCGCGATCGTTAAATCGAAACCCAAAGTAAAAAGCGCACGCGCATTCAAAAGCAATTTTATTACCCCGCGTGTTGAGAGCGACTCCCTGATGCGCACAAATTAGACTACATAACATATCTTGTTTTGTAGTTGTCTATAGCTCTGCATCATGCTTGAAAAAAATTGCTCTCTATTTGCACTTTGAATATAGAGAGAGCACCTATTGTTCGCACTTAGGCTACGACTAAGAAAGAACTGTACTGTTTTTATTTCTGTTCAATTTGTGAAAAGGACTTCAGTTAGGAGGTCAAACGTGTACAGATATAAGGTCTGAAGAGACTCTCATTAAATCATACAGGAGAGAAGCCAGTCAGCTGAACAAAACCTTTTTGAGTGTTGTTGTTTTTACTGCATATGATAATTCATACTCCGAAAGCAGAACTGAAATGACATTTATTACAAGATGATTAGTTAAATAAATTTTTCCAGTCATGTATTTGGTCATCGAGATTTTTTTTTTTTAATGTGTAAAAATCTCGTGTCTCGTCTCGTGTCTTGAGTTAAGTGTCGGCATTAATGATAATCAAACAACAAAAGACGAGGAGAAAAATCACTCATGCTCTTGAATGGCATTTGTAGCTTTTATAAAAATGTATATAGTGTCAATTGTTCCCTACCATCACATTCACATCTATGCAACCAATAAGTAAATTACTACTACTAAGAAAGAGCACATATTTCTTCATTGATCTAGTCACTTGATTATGCTAAAAAAACAAAATTTTCTTATCACAGTCTCACAAAATCCTGTGGGGACACTGGGAATGTACAGGAAACACTGTAGGATTGGATGTCTCAATGTGTGTGTGTATGCCAGTTCACCTTACTATTTGCGTGTGGACCATGTATGGCACTAAATACAGTTCTCCAGTAAAGCACAATGATTAAAGGGGGGGTGGAGGGGGGGCTCACACAAAGAGCAGCCTAGGGGCCCCTGACCACCTTAATCCGCCCCTGCAAATGTGAGTAACATTACATTTGTGAATGTGGTTTTAATACTTCTAGATTGTTCTATAAAATTTGTTATACTTACGTGCCTTTAAATAAATTGTAGCTTTTGTATATTTTATATGTGTGCGTTACAGCTCACAGCACTGAGAATCGACTTAAAGGTCCCATATTGTACACCTTTCTGGAGTTTTATTTTAGGTTTGCCAGATACAGAATTTACTTATTGAATCTAATTTGGATTTTTTTGTGCATATCTGAGACTTGGTTGAATCATGATGTCCCTACTGACCTAATTAATATACCAGAATATAGTTGTTATAGGAGAGATAGGGCCAAAGGAAGGGGAGGGGGTGTTTTAATTTATATTAGGGAACACTTTAAATGTTTAGAACTTGACCTGAATGTGAACATGGAATGCTTGGGATTGAATGTAATTCTTTCTTCAAACATGAAATGTAATTTAGTTGTGCTTTATAATCCTCCATGTCATGATGTAAATTTCTGATACTGAAGAATCTTCTTTTTCTTGTTGACAACTGTTGTGAATGTATAATGTTTGGGGACTTTAACATAAACTGGATGGTTAAAAGTGGTAAATCAAAATTAAAATCAACTATGGGGAAATTTAAATTCAAACAGCTGATTGATAGACCCACCAGAATAACTAGAAAGAGTGAAACTCTTATAGATCTGATTTTTACTAACAGGACAGAGAGAGTAACAAAAACATATAATCTCATTACTGGCCTTTCAGATCATAACATGACACTGATTGTAAGAAAGTTAACTAAAAAACGTCTACTTCACCATAATAAAATAGAAAATTCATTTTTAACAACAGGAATTCCCAAGTCAAAAATAGCCAGCTTTGAACATGATTTGAAGAAAGTTAATTGGGAAGAGGTAATTAAAGAATCAGACTTAAACCACAGTGCAAGCAATTTTGCCTTTATTTTAAGTGAATTAATAAGTAAACATACGAAAACCTGGAAAAGTAGGCCTAAGAAATTCTCTCTTCCATGGTTTAACAGTGACATCCTTCAGATCGTTAAAAGGCGAGATCTTGCTCTTAAAAGGTCCTTAATAACAAAAACTAATACTGACCACCTTATTTTTACTGGTTTGAGGAACAAAGTAGTATCAGAGCTGCGAAAGGCTAAGACTAATTATTTTTCCAAATTAATTGAAGAGGCCAATGGCAGCAGTTCTAAATTGTGGCAACATATAAATAGATTAACCAATTCAAGTAGACAAAAACATTTAAAAATAAATTGTCTTAAAGTTTGTAATAATCTGATTCATAGAAATGAGGCTATTGCAAATGTTTTAATAGTTTTTTTTATTGAGTCTGTACAAGAATTAGCAAGCAATTTTAAATA